TTGAAATTTCGTTCTTCAAAATTATTGCCAAGCACGCCTTCAGGATGCATTATGTGCAGAATGTACGTCAACCAAGAATTTAGGAAATGCAGCCTTTGATCAGAATCAGGGCATGCATAGTAGTTATTGCTGTATAGGCTAAAACAGTTTTGCAAACTGTAAAACTTGCTGGCAGATATAAAATTTCGTGAAAGAAGAAAGTGATATTGCAAAGTGGATAGTCAGAATACATAAAATGATAAGGAGAGCAACTAATTAAGTTGGGTTTGTCTCGTAATGCTTTTACATGAAGCATATTCTCAAGACTGTGTACCAGCAGTCAGGAGAAAGCGTGGTGGCCCCGCCGATGCAAGATACGTGGTAATTTTATTGAAGGCGCATCAACGTTTCAACTGACTGTGACCGCGATGACTAAATTTAGGTGGTGGACGTTTTGAAAATACTGTTGGTACGAACTGTCGTTGTAGCGGCGAGCCGCTACGTTGCTAAAATTTGACATGTGCAAGGGCCGCGCGTTTACGTCGCCTTAAGTCTTGACCCTGACGGTTACAATAATCGCTCCCAACACACCCTTCACATCTGGACAGCGTGGGAATGGTGTGTCTTGAAATAGAAGTTCTTGCAATGGCAACGAGCTGGTCCTCAAGACAGGGTCCAGCAGGGCAGAGTGCCCTGCAGAAACCCCTGTTTTATGATGTGCCGTAAACACCTGAATTACTTCTCCACAGCTGATGCGAGGCTCCGCGAAGCGAAGTTAGAAATGTAACGGTTGCTTTCCCCACTTCATATTTAGTATATTATTTGTTTTTGCGGCCTACGTGTCCTTGACCGTCTATTGGCCGTCTGACGGAAAGTCGGCTGATCAACATCAATTCCACTCGACTCCTTGGCTTATTATGACCAGCGTGTTGCCTCGAGATATTAAACCCCGTGAATGAGTCAGCGCATGTGTTAAAAGCAGAAACACACACACACACGAACGAACGAACGCGCGCACCAGTGCGCGGGGACTTCGCCGCGCGCCTAATGTAACGACGGTGCACTGCCTGCTACGTGGGTAAGTTCTAGCGGCATCTGGTGGCACTTTTGGTCCCTACACATCAATTTTCAGGCTCATGCGCCGCCGTATGGGAGCGCGCCGGTGAGCACGTCGGAAGTTTATAATGAAGGTCGTGTGCATGGTGGACACGCACGAATGGCGGATGCCGGGAGAAGTAGTGGGTGTGCTGGGTGGATTCCCACCATGTTTCCCACCACACACGTGTTTGGTGGGAGACGTGGTGGGCAAAGTGGGTCAATGGCAGCACATGTGGGGATTTGCTGGGTGGGTGCTTTGTGCAATAGATGTGATAATAACACATGATAACGAGCCAGCATCGATCGGAACGCACTTTACTTACTATGATTGCTTGGTGATCAGCTGTATTCGTGACTTGCAGTACATATTCGAAAAAAATCTTGAATTTGTTTTGATACAAATTTAAATGTAGTACTTTGTGCAGCAGTTATCAGTGCGCATCTACAGGTATTTCTCTTTAATGAAATGAAAGTGGGAAAAGTTCAATTCTGAACCAATGAGCGATCGTGCTACACAAGAACCCTACCTAACTAATCGGATAAAACATAAATGACCAAGGGGAACACTTCTAAAATGAGGGGTTGCGTCGCCTACATGATTCGCTTTATAAAGTAAAAGGACGATGTCTATTTATTCATTTTGCTGTGCTCCAGAGTTACAAGTGACTTAATATAACGCGGAAGCATTGGTTGCACGAATGTGCACCATCGATTACGATTCACTGGCGCAATCAAAAGATGTACTCGCTAGATCACATACATCTAGTATTACTTCCTCGAATCCTTAGGACGTACGTTTGAAGAATTTATCTGCAACAGCTGCCTGTAGACAAATTTGCGAAAATGGGTACCTGTAAGGTAGCTTTTGAGGTACCTAGGGATAACTTTGCATGGCAATGTTTGTATTTGCGCACGAACAACGACATCCACCACAATAATAATAGTTATAATGAAAAGCTCCGAAGCATTGTGTGAGCTATCACACCTAATTGTCTTTTTCCATCGAGGGCACATATCACGCGTGACAAGGCCACGAAGCTGGCACCATCAAGACACATTTCGAACAATTGTCAACCAGCTTCAGTAATACTTGACGGTTTGCCACTGTCTTTGATGCCCGAAAATAGGAATATGCCAAAACGGTGCTCAGCTGTCGTAAACACTTCTTCCATTTGATCAGCCTTGTCATTTCTTTGAAATAATCTAAGAATCTCCGCAGTTGTACGTCGGTACGTGCGTAGATCCAACGGCAAGCGTGCTAACACAGGCCGCAGTAAACACAGGTACGGAAAGGCGAGAACCTTACCAATTTATTAGAGTGAAACCGAATTAGAACACATTTAGAAGGAGTTAATATTCACCCCACATGCAGACACCATTCACGCGCATTCACTTCGGTTCACACACACTGTCCGTTTATCGACCACCGTCACTATGTGCCCTCGATAGAAAAAGACAAATAGGTGTGATAGCAACATGACCACCGTCATGTTGCCGCCAGAACACGGCAACACAACACAACGCACGGGGACATTACTGGAAATCTAACTCGCCACGCTAGCCAAATAGAGAAAAACCTGCATGACCCCCAACATGAACTAGGATACTGCACACAAAGCCCTTCACCGAGATCTCTCTCACAAGAACACATGCAACGCACAACCACCACAAACCACGTGCAAACGACGTGAAATTCGGGAGACATGTTATTCTGACTGCTAGTATTGAGCCGAAAAGAAAGTTCAGTCAACAAAAGTCAGCAACACGAAACCTTCGTGTCGAATACTAGCCGTGGTTGTTTTTTGGGCAATTTAAATGTGCAGTTTTCTTAGCTTTTTGTTGTGCGAAAAAGTTATGCGTGCAATAGTGAGCGATTCAAGCCTAAAAACGTGCGTTGCTTTGCTCTTATGACTGTCATATCACGTTTTGGTCATACCAGGTTATATCATGCTTACACGGATAAGGACGCCTTTCGTTAGGTGTCCTTAAAACGCCCTCAGGTGGAATTTTAAAAGGTATTTTTTATTTACCTCTATCTAGGATTTCTTTTAGTAAAGGCTGCCTTAATTTTACTCGCAAGAAAAAGGTCATTTGCAGATACGGGTCCAAGCTTCACCAAGCTTCATGTCTAACCCAATTAACTATTGCAAAATACCAGCAAATAACTTATTCACGTTAATCGTGCTGTTACATTTAGTATTCCAATAGTGCGATCTCAGATTGTTCCAACGTCTTGAAAGAATCATATTGACGTTGGGTGATTCCACAAGAGATTGACACGGGTCCAAAAGTTGATATTTTAAATTTCATTGAGTATTTTATATTTCGTGCACCTCTCACCAGGTAGCCCGAAAGTCAACTTCGTTTTATGATTAACGGCACAACTTAAGAAAAAAACAAATATCGAACTTCACCAACACGGAAGCACCAATTTCGTCACCTGTCGTTTTCGAAAGTTGCAGATGATATAAAAAGACAAATATTTTTGCTTCAAGGAAGATATTTTTTACCTCCAGTGCATGTCTAATGAAGAATGAATTCATAAGGTTTCAAGTTTGTAGACCTTATTAAATAGCTTTTAAAATGTATAATTTTGCGACAGTTTCAAATAAGTTTCGTATTCCCATTTTTTTTTTTCTCCGAAAGTAACCCAAGCAGCGTTTTCAAACTTGACACGTTTCAAGAATATAATGTGTTCATTAGGTACATCAATTGTTGCTGCCGTAGGGCCAATGTAAATTTTTATATATTGCCGCAAAGTTCTCATATTGGCAAAAGTGTACTCCACTGAAATTTGAATAATAAAAAAACCCAACTTCGATTTTTCTTAAAATCTCGTAAATAGACAACCGAAGGCCATTATAGAGTAATATAGAAAAAGATGCATTATTTTGTTTTAGCGACAATATTCGTGCTACAAATCAGAGCTTTTCGAGAATGCGCTGATAAGTTGAGAAATCTAGAAATCGGAACGGAAAAGCGGCCATAAGCTTCAAACGCGAGTAAACGTGATCGCCTTTGCTGAAGAAAGGCTGTTTTAGCAGATAGAAGTAACTATTTTGAACACGGTATTCTACAGTATCTGAATTCACTCTTATACGTCGAGCACTGAGATTTCTTAAATGTGGTGCCTCTCCATTACTGACACACAGATGGAGCTGCTGTGATGGCCATGTGTTTGCAACACGTTGGGTAAGAGAATTGAATGTTGAATGAGTTCATAAACGATTCATAACAAATTTTTATCATTTGGGGGACGAATACTGCCGCATTAGACTGAAGAACGCGCTTTAGGGCAAGTTGTCATCCGTCGTCTGCTCTACAAATGAATTGCTGTGCGCCGCATCTCAGAGGCAATGCTTTAGATTATATGGTTCAAAGGAGGAACCAAGAGTACGCCTCCCGTAATTTTATCGACAAAAACATTGTGAAATTCATTTTAACGTACTATACTTCAGTTTTGCATTCGCACTGTGGATACTTGTGCGCAGGTATCCATGCGAGGGAGGGAGTAAGGCGAGGGGGGCACAAAGTCTACCCTTTTAATTGACTTACTAGTAAGGGAGACACTGAGATGCATCTACCTTTACTTCAGCCCCGCCGCTAATATTCAAGAAGGTCGCTAGGCGCGCCTGTGATCACAAGTAAAAGGGGAACGGCACCTGGACAACCTGACAAACTGTACCAGATAGTTTGCTGAATCGCTAATAATGTGTAGTTATTTTTAATGACAGATATATATTTTCAAGCTTATAAGATAGTGCATTTGTTTATGACGGCGTTATCACACGTATTTAAGCTATTTCTAGCAACACAAATACCAGTTTTGAATTGACAACAATACCGAAACTGAAACTAAGAGGGTGGCGGCGTCTCGATCGCCCTGTGTCTTTCTCTTTTTTTTTTTCTTGGACATGGCGGTGTTGAAAACCGTGGTGCAGTTTTCTTTGGGGCGTCGACTTTTACTGCCCTGGATGGCGTTGCGTGCTGTGTGTTGCAGTTACTGACGTAAGCACAACTTTTTCACTGAGTGTCATTAGCGGTGCCAGGCAACTATTCGCCAAATACTTGCTGTGCGAGATCGTCCTCTGCGACTTCTGTGTTCAGTGTCATCGACGGACGTGAAATGTTTTCCCTCGAAATATTAGTGCACAATAATGACAGCGTTCTTCAAGGCAACACTGTCATCAAGGCTCCTTTCGCATCAGTGAGTAGCAGCGCTGCAGTCCTTTCTCGACAACGCTCTCTGCGGCCATGCAAAATGCTTTGATATGCGATGCGGTGAACGGGGATCGGTGGCTGTCCCTCACTCGGCGCATCGCTTGAACACCGACGGTCAGCCGACAACGTGCTTTCTTGCCAGTGGTAAGTAGTTGTGATGGTCGCGCTTCATACTATGTGAGTTGTTCTTATTGTAATAGTAGTTGACACCTAAGGATTGTACTGCATGCTGTTGTAGTTGTGTTCACTGTGCTCGTGCGCGACGTTTTTCAAGAGTGCGATCGGTAGTTTTCTAAAGTTCTGCCAGTTAGCTCACGCACTGCTCAACGATATTTTTTTTTAATTAGGTGTGCACTTTGTGCGTTATCGAGCAACGCGACCTGCGAAAGCTTTAGGAGACCCCTCGGACATTGTTTGACGTCTTTCCAGCTGTAGCGAGCGAAGTACATTTTCTAAAAATGCACTTTTTTTCAACTATATACTGTGTTTAATACAAATTATGCGCCAAATTGTGACTTTGATGCATGTTGACCAAACTTGAGCCGTACTCTCGGCAGAATTTTCAGTCCTGTGTGGTGGAGGAGGGGTTATGGTGCTCCGCTGCTGACAGGAAGATCGCGGGTTTGATGCCGACTGCGGCGGTCACATTCCAGTAAAAGTGAAATGCCGCGTTCTGTGCATTGTGCAAAATCCCAAATCGATATTTCCGGATCCCTCCACTACGGCGTCTCTCATAAGCATAACGTGGCTTTGGGATGTACAACTCTAGAAAGTGTATTAATATTATCAGCTGAAATTTAGATTGATTTCGGCGCTCTACGTGCGTTCGGGCACTGAAGTTACATGCGACATAGGTATTACTTGCAAAATTGGTGAACACATGGTGTCGCCGGCACCCCGTGTTCATGAATTTGCCATCTAATTTTGCTTTGTACACAACTTCTGCCTTTATTGGACTGGCATTACTTGCTTCCTAACTTGCACAACTGTATAGCTTGTAGCAAGCGCTGATCAATATGTTTATGGTACAGACATTTATGCAGAACCAGTTGTAGGTTGTTCGTACTCAACAAGTAAAACTAAAGGTGGACTGCAGTTTTTCCTGACCCCGGCAAGTATCATAAAGCGGCACTGTTATCGTACCCACTAGCCGTATTACGGTACCATAAATGTTAGTTTTCACGTGGACAAAGTGTGCTATGAATTTATTCACTTATTGTGTATGCGGCTACACACAGAAATAAGCCATCCTGCATCAAAAATATATAATATAGCACTTGCATGGCTTGTTTGGTTGACATGCAGCTTGGCACAGATGAGATGTGAAGTGTCATCGAATTCTTGCTTGCTCATCTGTACCATGCTGCACAGTCAACCGAAGATGTAATTATGCCAACTCGCCCAAGAAGCAGCGTTCACTGACATGCACTGTGCAACATTAGAATGCTAAGTTTGTTGATTGTAAACAAACATGTAAACCACATAAGTTCAATCAATAGAATCCATGTGAGCAATGTATCTTTAGCAGTAATTGAGCAACCGAGTAATTGAGCAATAATTGCATAAACCATGAAGCGTCGGTTCAGATGACATTCACATGTTTCACATAGCTAATTGCCGAAGGCCCATTATAGTATGTGGCTGATGGTGATGTTTTGTATTATTAGTGAACTAATTCATTTTTCCTGCTGTTAATTTCTAACATATAAATAATCGGTGCATAATGCATTACTGCCATAGTCAGCAAAGTTAGCTGCACTTGTTGGTGACATTTATTTAGTTTTACATTTGATGAGGCTATGCCTGCTTGGCCTAAGCTTCGAGTGGCCTGGTAACAGCCTGGTTACACAACTTTCCTCCGAAGTGTGTTTTTCCAGAATTCATTGGCAAGAAACTAGGTCAAACCATTGGCAATGCTTTAACGAGGAAATTGTTGCAGCCTCCTCCTGGCCTGGTGAACCTGGTGATGTCCTCATGCAGCCAGTGCTGGTGTCAACCTGAGTTATTAATTGATGCAGGTAAGCCACAACCTTTGTTGTAAACATTTCTGACAATATTTACACTTAATAAACATTGTCTTTTATGTGTGTTTTCTCACATGCGTTGAGGTTTCGTCTGCTTAAGAAATATGAAAGATTGCTGATGTAGCATAGAAATCTCCTTGAACACATGGAACATATGTTCCACAAATTAATGTCAGATTTCAAATGCATTTAGTTCTAAAGATGCCAAAACTTGTTCGACTCAAGTTTGTTTAATCAATAAAAGCAACCTATATCAGACATCGAAACATAAGACGAGTGTTGTGCCCATGTCATGGGCTCTTGTGTAACCCGCATTACGCCAATTTGCATGTTCAGTAATGGCACTGCATTCAGGCGATACGGCAGTCACTTGAGCCTTTCGTGTAAGGACCCTGGTGCAGGAGAGATTTGCGTTATTGCTACAGCTATATAATGAAGGTAGCATGGATAACATATACATGTTACAGATTATGTGGGGGCATAGTCAAAATTCTTTAATAGGTTGTGCCCCAGCCTTACTTTACATGTTTGTGTAGCATCTGTGTGCGTTTTTATTTACACCAAGAGCACCTAATGTTTGAGGGAGTTTAAAATCGAGCTTCTTGCTAAGCCAATGATGCCATGGTTTGTGAAGTTTTGTGTAATATTGAATTCTTTTAAGCTGTTCTCATTTCAACTTGTCTGAACTTTCTTGAAGCAGCATTTTGAAGTGGTCCTATGTATTAAAAGTAAGATGGTGCTTTCACGCTGCTCTTTTTTTAGAATGCTAGAGCAGTTTCGGGCTATACAGAAGAACTATTACACAATATAGCACTTCTTATTTCGTAGCACTTCTCATTGTGAATCACTCAGGCTTGCAGCCAATCCTTGTTTTCATTGTTGATTTGATTCAGTGTTATGTATGGCTATGAACATTGTCTTATAGTTGTTGATTACTTGTAGTACTTGGTGACACCTTATGCCAGCACGGATACTTTTGGCAAAAATTTAGTTCTTGTAGATAGACATGCAGAGTAGTGTTTACTGAGGCATACAATGACTCTTGGTTCTTTTTTCACGCATCTTCAAAGCCGAATGATTTTTGTCACGAGGGCCAAGGGCAACACAGAACTAATACATTCCTCTTATTGCTATTCGCCTGGTACCATTCTGTTGCAACATGGTAAGCGTATACCATAGTATGAACTTGTCTTGTGCTGACTCTGAGGATGGAGATGCGTTGCTTGAATCTACCAGCCAGGCTACACTTCTCTTTAATGTAATGATGGACACATACCAAGTGATGCAGATTTTTTGGGTTTTACATCCCAAAAATTAAGAGTAGCATGTCTATTTTTTCGAGTGGCTTTCAACCAATCCATATCGAGGAAAAGATGCCACGAATACACAACAGGAACACACAGCATTTCATTGGCACGAGGGCCAAGTGCAACACAAAACTATTACATTTCTCATATTGCCATTCGCCTGGTACCAGTCTGTTGCACATGGTAAACGCATATCATAGTATGAACTTGTCTTGTGCTAACTATGAGGATGCAGACGGGTTTCTCGAATCTACCACCCAGGCTACACTTTTCTTTAATGTAATGATTGACACATACCAGGTGATGCAGATTTGTTGGGTTTTACATCCCAGAAATTAACAGTAGCATATCTGTATTTTTTCTAGTGGCTTTCAACCAATCCATATTGAGAAAAGCATGCTACAAATACACAACACAAACGCACAGCAATTCATTGGTGTGTGACCCGTCAATTCTTTCTGGCTAAAACTATGGTTATGCAGATCCTCAAAAATGCGATGACATGCAAAATTTGTTAGTACTTTAGTTTCTTTATGCAATTAATTAGTTCTGATTCGAACGATCTCCTTAGTTCTACATTTCTTTCATTGCACATTGGCTTCTTGGGTGTCATTACTTAACATCATTTTCCTTAACCCTTAAAAATGCTCAATATTTCTCTTTGGTTTTGCTTTACTATATTCATTTCTGAGGCAGAAACATGTCTCACCGTCGTTCATGAAAAAAGTAACAGCTTGGATTGCAACTTAAATCGAAAATTGCACAATGCAGCATGATGATCCAAGAACTAGAAAACAGTCGCAATAGAACTCTTTGTGGGACCATTTTTAGTTTAAAGCTGTCATTCATTTTAAAATAGTGTTAAAACATTGAATAACGTCAGCTTTATCAGAATGCACTCTCTAGAACTGCAGCATTGGCCGCTACTTTAAAATATTGTTCATTTAAATATTTATAGTCAGATTTGGGTGTCACTAACATGCACTGCTTGGTGCCATACAATTTAGTCTCCACACAAATGAAGGTCAGCCTTGACACAGTGGTCACGCATCCAGTAAATGTAGGTAATCCTCACTAGTAGCCACTCTCACTGAACGTCTAAAGAAGCCCACGGTGTTACATCTGAACATGGATGCAAAAAGTGGCAGTAACAAGGGAGCTGTATGTACTCTTACACTTCTTGCTTAATTTCACAGGTTAAAGAAAGTGGGAAGGGCATATGGTACAAATGCTCTCTTTACAGCTGCGAATGAGCTGGAAAGGATTAGCACTGTGACGTCATTCATAATTATAATATGCTTTGGGGCCTAGACCTGAGGTATAACCAGAGTCTTTCACAACTTTAACTGGTCATGAAGCTTTGCCGTAACTCTATGTGAGAGCTTTGTTCGCTGGGAGTGAAGACCGCGAGGAATCGGGCAGACCAGAGGGAACCTGGCTGCTGGTGCTGCTATCGAATTAATGCATATTATGCTAGTGTGTCATCACGTAGTTTTTGACCTTATTATTACTGTTGTGCTTAGTGTGCTGTGCCTGAAGATAGAGTAGAATATTGTATACCTGCTGGTTACCTGGTTGTCGATCCAGTTAAACGAAAAGATGAAAAAGTCTCGGAGTTCTCACTGCCTACAGAGATCGGCGGGAAAAGTGGAAGTGTGAAATGCCTCAACAAGAAACGGATCATTTCACATTAGTTTTCTCGAATGTGCACGTGGGCGAAAAGCACTTCAATGCGAGTGACGTCCTCGTGGACCAGTGGTAAATCGGAGGTGTTGTTAATTCACCGCCTGACGTTCCGAAACTTTTGCCGATGCTGTGCCGAAAATTTTTCGGGACTTCGCGGCGTATTTGTATGTAGTGCAAAAAGATGCAGACCTCTCTCACCTACCAAGCGTCGGCAGGAAGCGTGAGCGAGCTGGAGTACGCTTACGGGACAATAAGGTATTCAATGCAAATCACAAACAATAGATTGCAAACACAAATTCTTCTCATTATGAAGTCACTGTTCATGAAAAAAGGAAGAGGAGAGATTACAACTATACTGCATTTATCAACAATAAAAGACCGAAAGCAAATGCTCCTCTGGCCCCTGACACATTCTACAAAGAAAAAAATTATTATTATGAAACAATTGTCTATGCTCAAGTACTGTCAAACTGAAACTGGTCAAATGAGTGCAAGCAAATAATATGTAAAATACGAAGCATAAAAGAAAGGGAAAAAACGAGAAAAAAAGAAAACTAGGAAGAAGGCAGAAGAAGAAAAAAAAATTTGAGAATTTTGCTTTATGAAAGGAAAAAAGATAACAGAGCGAGAACAGAAAAGAAAAAAAGGAGCAACAGAAACAAAAAAATCAAATGATTAAAAAAAAACCTTGAAAAAAAGAGAAAAAAATGAAAACAAAAAGTTGAAGCAAGAATAGTGAAAACTATATTAATTGCACTCGCAAGAATAAAACTCCGACTATCGAAGACGATCTGTTACAATTTAAAATTGTCTTTCTGAGACTTGGAATCATGCAACTATATCTCTGAAGATTAACAAAAAGTATAATGAATACTTACAAGTATTCATTACAAGTACTAATATTGTAAGCAACTCGGCATTTTGTCGCAGTTTAAATATGATAAAAATCCTTATATATAAAAATGGAATAAAAATTCAAAAATAATTCCAAGTCTACATGTCTACTCTGCAACAAATACTAAGAAAAAAAATGAAACTATCATGACACATACCAACATGACAATAACGGAATGGGGGAGGGTGGGCAGTAATAAAAAGTTTTAGCTTTACAGAGCACTCATTTATAAAGAGAAGTTTAAATCAACAGGCAACTCCTACACTCACAGTGAACAAGGAAGGCACGAACTTTAAGACAGCCCCATTAAGCTGCGCATTGGAATAATTCGTCATTGAAGTATATTTACTGTAAACCAAAACACTAGCTTTTTTCTTTATCTGGTTTGACTGGGGTGAAGTCCGCTTCTCGTGCATATCCTTCCCCCTCAAGATTTCACTTGGCTCTGCCTCGTTCATTTTTGTTTTCTAATTGGCATTGCCTCCTATATGTTTATGGTGTGGGCTTAAGATTTGTTTTTTCATTCCTCACTATAAAGAATGTTGATGCTTCATCAGACTGTGCATGAATCCTCTCGACATACCTGCAATGAATAATGATGCGTTTAATGAAGGTGAGCATACCAGCCACCTCTTCCTCGTTCCATGCTAATAGGTAATACAGAAGTCTAATGAGTGGATCGTTCACTGTTTTCATTTATACAGACACTGAAGTACACAAAAGACACAAAAGTGTGAAGGTAATGCATCAAGCAGACAGAGCTACATGCAGCTCCTCACAACTTGGAAAAATCAAAGCACACATGCATTGTGCGCAACATAGACTTCAACGCTACCAAGTGATGTTTACTAGGGTGGTGGCGCAAGATCAGTTGCACCACAGTGCTGTGCAAAACTTGCGCAAGTTATAGAAGCGTGCAAAGTCAATTTTTGACATAAATGCATCATGAGCAGGAAAAGATAACTTTTTGTGTCACATGTTGGCGCCTCCTATGTGGGACGCAGTCGGTCAATTTTCACGTTTGAAGAGTCATGCAAAGCTTACGACTTTACATTCTTTATTGTGAGGTAAGAAAAAAAAAACAATTCCTTGGCCCGTACCATAAAGATATGGCAGGCAATGCCGATTAGAAAAGCAAAATGAACAGAGCTGAGCCAAGCGAAAATTTGAGAGGCAAGGATACGCAGGAGAAGCCGACTCCATCATAAGTTGAACGAAAAAAAAAGCTATTGGTCTTGTGTACAATGTTGATTTCGCTGCTAACATGTTTGACCGAGTTATTCTTCAGGGATGAATTCTGGCAATGTACAGCCTAATTGAACTGTCTTGGACATTATGCTTCTCTTGTTTGTTTATAGAGTAAAATATTCCTATTGATTTAAACTTTTCTCTTCCTAAATAAGTAGTTTGTAAAACTGGAAGGATTTTGATTACGGCCCCCGCCCCGTTAGTGTCAAGTTGGTTTGCATATTGGTTTCAATAGTTTTTTTCTGGTAGCAGATGCGCAGTAGGTACGCAGAGATCGAATTATTCTTGACTCTTTGTTTCATTTGTTGGTATATAATATTATTTAGCGGATTTAAAATGCACCAGACTGTTGAGTTGCTTAAAATATTAGTGTTGACTTTTCCCCTTCACAGTAAAATGAATAGAAAAGGACAGGGAAAACACAGCATGCGTAAGCTACACAACAGAGTAAAGGACTGACGAAACTACATAGCATGGCCAACTGAACTTGGAACACTCTACGGCACTGTAGGGATAAAAAAATAAAAAAACCCACAAAAATAAAGTCTTGCTTGATTCTTATCACTTGCTAAATTAAAAGCACTGATTTATTCAAAGTGGCAGTTGGTGTAATAAGTGCGAAGCAGTTTTAATATATATATATCTTTGCATATAGAAACACCATACGTATATACAGCCTGAGAGTATATATATATATATATATATTTATATATCTATATATCTTCATCTTCCTCATCTGTCAATAACCATCATCAGTCTTCGCTGCGGCCCTCTCCATCATCGGCACCATCTTGCTGTTGCTGAAAGAAGGCGTCAGCTGAACCGTAGTATTTCCAATGGGGGAAGGTGCTTCGCGATCTCTTCGACCTCTCTCCATCCAAAGCCAGCTCCTGGAGCTCCGTTCGGGATGTCGCTTTTCACAGTGCCACAGTGCTGTATATATATAGCACTGTCAAAAGTTGCAACCACGTGTTAAAAACTGTCAACTGCCATAGTCATTAAAAAACTCTGGATTGTATGCAATGGTTCACTAAATGCTTCAGGAAAAAAATAAGCATGCTTCTTTAATGGTAGCATAACTCACAGTGCAATCATGCCATCGAATTTCTAGCTTCAAGGCCTCGTTCTATGGTAAATTCCACTGTATTAGATCTGTCCCGAATTTCTTTGAAGCTAACATCACTTTGAAAACTTATGCAACCTTCATGGCTACATTTAGCCCCGCCACGGTGGTCTAGTGGCTAAGGTGCTCGGCTGCTGACCCGCAGGTCGCGGGATCGAATCCCAGCTGCGGCGGCTGCATTTCCGATGGAATCGGGAACGCTTAAACTCGTGTGCTCAGATTTGGGTGGACCTTAAAAAACCCCAGGTGGTTGAAATTTCCGGAGCCCTCCACTACGGCGTCTCTCATAACCATATGGTGGTTTTGGGACGTTAAGCCCCAATATCAATCAATCAATCATAGCTACATTTAATAACGTTTCATAGCTAAGGTGCCTGCCATGCAATTGTAGCACCGCAGCCACTCCGAGGCCCACCGTGGGTGAGGGTGCCCCTGGCAGTTGCTCTTGTCTGTATATCAAACTTTCGCTGAAGCTTCATGACCAGTAAAAGTATTCAAAGACTCTGGTATAACTACGTTTTGTAGAACACACCCACCAATGCAGTCATTGTGTACTGGTGTGGTATAAATGTGCCCTGAGGTTTGCTGCTTCATAGAGCAAATGCACCTCTATGTGTATATGGAACATCAAGAGTCATAAACAGTAGGTTTATTATCTAATCTATCCTTACATAATCAGAACTGTAAATGCACAACTAAATTCATTAAACCGGTCAGCAGCACACATTGCTTGGCTGATTGGTCCATGTTCAGGTAGAAGCCATAATATAGGGCTGTTTTTGCGTGAAGAAATCTTGAGGGAAAGGGTCGACTGGGGCACGAATTTTTTACTGTTTATTCATCATATACTGCAACGAAGTATGTACTATATGCACAGACATGGGCAGCAAGCTGGGCATACATCGAGCACATACCACTCTTTTAAAAACCTGGGATCTAAAAACTGGCTTTCCACCTGGGAGAGAAACAATAAAGCATCACTGATACATAAGGATCCCCATGCCTTTATTAGAACTGCCTAAAAGATTTAATGAACCATGGTGACCCTGCTTTTACTGAAAATGTTTACCTTATTGAGCCACAGCTTACACTGTAAATTACAGCGTGTGGCAAGTGTGCATGTGTTCTATATTCTTTATTGAAAGCCTTTGTTCCTGTGTGCTCTCATTCATGCATCTTCCCGTCTGATTGACAGGCATCTTGCCGCAGGATAGCAGAAATTCCTTAGCACCAGTGCCACATTTTGCACACCATTTGGTGTGCTTTTTGCCACAACCATTTTTGTTGCTCCCGCTAGATATTATAGGTGGGGATAGCAAAGACAGCTTCCTTGGATCAGAAAAGACAATTGGCATGCTATGTCTGCTTGCAACCTTTTTTTATGTTATGTGCAGCCCGGTGCATCTAAGGCATGAGCTGAGGCCTCATCGTTCTCTAGTTCCACCCAAGTACCATGGTGGTTGGTCACTTTTGAACTTCTGGAAGAACGACTTGGGGACAACGATAAGGAGCATGTGAGAGGAGCTATTTGATTACAGATAATTCAATTGCTTTTGAAAAGCTTTCTGTATGTTGTTTGAGCATCACTTTTCAAGTGCAGACTGTAGATGATGTTGAGCTGCACTCCTTTTTACAGTTGTTAAATACGATGATTCGTATGGCGGGAAACTTCTTGTAGACCTAGGTAATGCGAATAGGTGTGCTCGTTCTGTAAGGTAATGCGTAAGCTTATAAACTTCAACAGCCACAACCCGGCAACTCTTGTGTAAACGCCAATTCCTTCCAGAGACAGCAAAAAGCCACTAAAACATTGTTAACAGTGTGATAAGTAGTGGAGGTTGGTTCCTCTACAATCATGAAAAATGTGACCATAGCTTAAAACATTCAAGCTTTTCACCATTAAAATGGCGTTGCAAGCAACAGTCAATAGAAATAGGAACTGCGCAGCATATGAGCGACACAAATAGCCTATGTAGATGCTTTGTTTTTGGACACGAGAATCTACATTTGAATTGATGGACTTCTGTAAAAGCTCAAGAAGCTACAATCATGTCTGCAGCATTCCGAAGGCAACACCACCACTCTCGTCTAGGCAACTTCTTGCACAGGAAATCAGTTCATTGTACGGAGCAGAATAAATTAGGTGCTAAACATGAACTGAAAAGAACTACCCTGTCGAGAAATTCACTTGAAGAAAGTAGGTGATATACAAGGAATTATCAGTCCGAAATGGGTTTTTGACAACAGCTGAGCCCCTTCATTAGAAACTGACTAATCACAATGTACCACATACCTTTTTCAGTTAAAATCGTCTTGAAAGGAATAACCTGCTTATGCGTCTTGGCCGTGAAGAAGAGAGAAAGGGCGTTGTTTTTGGTAGCTCCAATAGATTGTGCAAGTTCTGCAGGTTCCATGTTCTTACACAGAGCCACCACCTTGCTTTTCGCTCTTGTTTCACTGTCTTTTATCTTGAGGTTCTTGTTGACAGCCCGTCGTGTCATGAAATTATATGAATCTGCATCTTTGCCACAAAGACACTGCTTTGAAACTCTAACAAATTTTTTCGCATGTACAATGAAACGACAGCGACGATAAGATCTTTGTGACATAAAATGGGAGATTTTTCCTGGTTCTTGCTAATCTTTCCTCACCTTCATGTAAGCAGCGATGCCTTACTTCCACGTCAGCTTTTCTGGCAACTCATCGGTACAATGCCAGCAATTCGTGAGCTGGCAAAGAGTTTTGGGCTAAATTTTGGACCTTTGATGAGTACATAATTTATAATTTCTGGAATAGGATCATTTCCCAGCACCTCGAGGCCTTCTCGGGCGTTACCAGGACGCTCTTGGGGATTGAGCAACATGCTGAAAAATGTTCACATTCCAGAAAAGCTATGCCATGTACTCAACAAAGCTCCGAAATGTAGCTACAAATCATCAATGATAGTTTACAAATTACTTATCACGAACCAGTAGGTTGTTAAATAAGCCAATGTAAACATTTGGGTCCGCTTTATACGCGAGGCCATGGAAGTTTGATAACCAGGGAAAAACTGGTCATTTTACGTCACAGAATTTTACGGCAGTTGTTGCGATATATGTGCAATAATTTCTGGTGCTTCAAGCAGATAAAAGCATTGGATTTGTGGCAATAGATGCCATTTCGCACAATTTCAAAGCAAAGCAGGAAGTCTACAAGTACTTGGTTGAGGTAAAAGCCAGCAAAATAAGAGTAATGTAATGCAGTGGTCCTGTGTAAAAATTTGAGCTTGTGAAACTTCCACATTTTGTTGCAGCTAGGAAGAACAGTGCTTTTTTGTGTGCTTCATCGTCAAGATGCATAAGCAAAGTTTTCATTTTACGACAACTTTAGTGAATGAAGTATGTGACAGAATGTGCTTAATCAGTTTATAAGAGGGGACGTGACAACTAAAATTATCTTTTTTATTTATGAAGCTAAAAGGATGAAATTCGGCATGCAATGTCGTTTGTTGTACTGATATCTCAACTGAAATTGGTTTTAAACTATCTAATATAAGTTCTGAGTTATGACACTTGATAGACTCTCATTGTCACCCCAAAAGGAATCAGCTAGTTAGACACAAGTTCGTAAAAATTTCTGCATAAGGTTATATACAAGGGTCCATTTTGTGCCGTAATGCCATTGGTTTATTTTTAATACTTAGGTAGGCACACAAAATTTTTTTTCTGAAATTTCTTGGACATATTGTCTTACAAAAATCTTTTATAAAAAACCAATTACAAAAGTCTTTATGATGCGAACACAAATACGGACAGCTTTATGGCACTTACCAATATCTCATAATCTAAGTGCGGAAAACAGAATGGCTACACCTTAATTTGTTGTAAAATGACACAGGAATGACTGACAGCAACTGCTCGAAAAATGAAACCTGAAAAAATGGATTTTGAAGAAATTGCAGCAAGAAGCTGATAAAACTAAACTTGAAAGAAAGCTGGCTTTATTTTTCATTAGAGAAATGCATCTTTGTGGCTTGCTTGAGCTCAACCTGTCTGTCCTCTTTATAAGGTGGCACTTTGTCAAGGGAAAGCTGAAAATTGGCACTTTTTTTACGCCCAATTTTCACAAAGCTTTTGACGATAGTCCACCAGTAAAATGCTTGTTTCTGCACTTCTACTTATTTTGATGGAAAATCACACTGATGTAAAACATGGTCTCAAGGTTACAGAAAAATATTATTGAAAAGATTAGAGAGAAATATTATTGAAAATTTGAACATTTTGATTAAATTTACAATTCCCATTGCCATGTTACATTTCCCATTGCCAATGAAACAGCTAAGCTCCGTTGCTGTAAAAGACCAGTGTATAACTGAAAATTTCCCCTCTGTCAGCTACTTCAAATACTTTTTTGATAGGGTATATTTCGTCTGAGTTGACATTCAGTACCTACTGTATTGTGTCTCTAAAAGAAGAAGGCTGTCATGTTGGCTAGAGCTGTGCCACTCAAAAAGAGGCCCTGGCGGTTTATTTCAAGCCCTTTTAAAGCAAACGATATGAAAGAGGGAAAGGGAACAAAGGGAGGACAGAATAAGTGTGACATACCGTCACACTGATAAGCTGTAATCTGATACATGTTCTCGTGCTGATTAAAAAAAACATTTTAGAAAACTTGATGAAAGTTGTTGTCGTAATGCAATCGTTGAGGTTCCGCACGTTTCTTGGTAGACTTTCGTGCACTTGAAAAATTGAAATTGTTCCCTTCATGGTGGGGACCTTGCATTATAGCTGTGGGATCCGCTACGCCTTGTTGGTCTCCGTGCGCTTGTTCGCCAGGTGTATTGCTGTCCTGGCTTTTGTCCCTATTGACCATGTTTTCAGGGCTGTCGGGGTCTTGGTCTTCATTCTCGCTTGTACCGTTTCCAGGTATGCGCAGCAGGTGTTGCCTGTTTCGCCTCAGCATCCGCTGGTCCTCGGTCTTCACCATGTAAGATCTTGGTGGGGCTTGCTCGCTTACTGTCGCTGTGCGTGACCAGTGTCCATTATAAATGCGTACTGCAGTTCCACTTCCGAGCGGTGGTAGTGCCTTTCCCTTCGAAGACTGCGACGCTTTTCCACTGTAGTTCCGGGATCGCCGTGGTACTCGGAAAAGGTCGTGCGAAGGTGCCGGCCTTGCAGTAGTTCGCCCGGAGAGCGACCATCTTCTAGTGGGGATGACCGATAGGCTAAAAGCCCCAATCAAAAGTCGCCATTGGAGTCGTCGGTCTTCTTTAGAATGCGCCTAACAATCTGAACCCCTTTTTCTGCCAGTCCATTTGACCGAGGGAATTCTGGACTCGGTGTGATGTGCTGAAAGTCATATTTTTGCGCGAACTCTCGCAACTCTTGCGATCCAAACTGGGGCCCATTGTCAGTACATACATGAACCGGAATGCCGTACCGTGAGAAGATGGCCGATATTTGATCTATGACTTCTTTGGCCGTTGTGCTTCTTAGCTTCTCTACGTCAGGGAAATTGGAGTGGGCATCGTATACAATGACATAGGAGGCTCCCCTGAACTTAAAAATGTCCATTCCCACTCGGTGCCATGGCCTGTCCGGGGTTGGCTGCATGAGAAGGGGCTCACTAAGCTGCTTGTATGCATACCTCTGGCAAGTACAGCACCCCCAAATGAAGGAGTCAATGGCACTGCTGAGTCCAGGCCAAAATGCCAACCTGCGTGCTCTCACCTTGCATTTATTTAGTCCGAGGTGTGCATCGTGAATTCGTCGAAGAATTTCTGCTCTCATGGCTTTGAGTATGACCACTTTGCATCCCTTCAGTAGTGTACCTTCTACCACTGACTGTTCTCCGGCAAAGGGCTTGAGTTCACCTTGGACGGCGTCACCCCGTGAGATTCGTTCTCTCATCTCGCTCAAATACGGGTCGTTCTTTGTTTCCTTTTCCAAACGTACTTTCATGGGCGTGCTTACGATGCTGGAGACGACCTCTATTGCATGGATGTCGACGTCTGTGAAGGCACTCGATGACTGTGATGGCATAAATGCACGCGACAGCATGTCCGCCAGAACCAGCTCCTTGCCAGGCACGAACTGCAAAGTATAATCATATTGTAAAAGCCTGATGAAAAAAACGCTGCAATCGAGGTGGAATGTCTCCAATGCCTTTTTGAGAAATGGCATGCAGGGGCCTAAGGTCCATTTCGATCGATACCTTTCGACCATAAACAAAATGATGGAATTTCTCGCATGCAAACACTATACCGAGCGTTTCCTTTTCAATTTGCCAGTAACGAGTCTCGTAATTGGTTAATGTTCTTGATGCATACATCACTGGGCGCCAGTCATTGCCATGTTTCTGCAGCAGGGCCGCGGCTAAACCGGTCCCCGAAGCGTCCGCTGTGATCTTAGTGTCCTTCTTTTCGTCAAAGAGCGCGAGTAACGGTGGGTTTGTTAACGCGTTGCACACTGCTTTCATTCCCGCTGATGCGCTATGGTCCATTCGAACGTGACGTTTTCTTTCACAAGGCCGC